TTTCTTGTGAAAAGACAGCTCATGGAAGAATCCTAAAAGTCAGTCGCTGTATCCTATGTCTGGAGAAAGGAGATCTGTTGTTTCAAAGGTGGCTGTAGGTCTGCTTGTAACTTGTTTACAAGACACATAGGCCAGCAGAAAAGCAGCAGAATGACCAATCACAGTGATGGTGTGTCGTTTGGATATTGTGAGCCAAAACCTGACTTCAGCCACCTCTTTGCCTTTAGTCCTACAAGGCTCTTTTTAGTAAAAATTTTCTGCTGGAGTTCAGATAATACTCTTTTGATTAATTGATTACTTTTTCCCTTTCAGTCGATTTTACACCTCCATTGCCGTACTTTACTTTTACTATACTGTTTCAATTTGCTTCTGATTTGAGTCTATAATCATGGATGGAACAGCATCAACCTAAGCATTGGAATAAGCTCCCCAGGGAAGTAGTGGAGTCACCATCTCCAAAAGTTCTCAAAGAATGAATAGATGTGACACTTTGCAGTATAGTTCAGTGGCCATAGTGGTATTCAGTCAATAGTTGGATTTCATGATCTTGGAGATCTTTTCCAACCTTAGTGATTGTGTTATCCTAAGTCTGAAGTCTATATTGAAACTATATGATAACATACTAGGGTCAAGAGACTATAATGATTTGATTTACAGTTTTTGAGAAATTAAAAAATACATGTTTTATGACTGTTTTGTCAACCTATTTTGATGAATATGATTAATTATAATTAACTTAATATACTTATAAACACAGTCCTTTTGCACCAAAGTTTCTTTGGAATGCAGCTTAATCTATGATCCAGCAATGAGTTGGATTGATCCCTAGCCTGTGTCCTTGTTGGAAAACATACAGTTATGTCATCAACAATAGGAAAGCTTTTAAAATTCCAGGTATTTTCAAGGGATTTCCAGGAAATATTAGCTGCTCCTCTGCAAAATGATGACTTTTAATAGTCAGAGATAATCACGTCTCTGTGGAGACATCATTTATAGTGTGGAGAGTCATCATCATGGCGAGGCTTCGCGAACGAAGATTTGGGAAGGCTCTATCCACATTTGCTACAGAACCAATCAGTACTGTGTCCATCAATGAGAAAAGCCCCAAGACCAGTCTGAACTTTCAGTCCTCCAGTCTAAACTAATTTGCTCAAACATCTTAGTGAGAGTACATGCTTTGGTAAAGTTACTCAGAGGTTAACCAGCACTGAGCTCTCTTGTTTTTCCTTTACCTCATTGTCCCACCCATGTAAAACCTTGGAGTTGAAAGGCCACTGAAATCTTAATGTGGCATCTTGTGCACACTGCACGCCCAGTGCAGCTGAACAATCAGGCCACAAGCTTTTATCTCTAAGACAGGTGTTCCATAATGGGTTTGCTCTCAGGGTCAGGAAAACAGGTCCCTGTTTAACTCTAAGGTGGTTAGAAAGGCTAGGACATTTAATTTGAGATAGCAACCTTCACTAGCTTGTTAGACAAACTATTTCATAGGTGACTTTGTGAACAAGGGTTAGACTGGTGGAATGAATGGAGACAGGCAGGGCAGTGTGTGACACGCTCCCTTGTTGGCTGGACATGCTTTCTGGTGTCTTCTTGTAATTCCCTGGGTCTACTCCCATAGGAGATGCCTTTCAGAATTCCCTTTCCAGAATTTGTTGCTGACACTCTATGCTGTCTGTGAACAGAATTCTCCATATCCTTGCAAACTTAACCAAAGAAAGGTATTGCCCTGTACCATTCTCATCACTGTGGTTGTTCCCCAGAGCTAAAGGAATATAACCAGAAAATGATACAACTCCTAAGTATGATGGGTAACATTTATAAGCATTAGTCAGTACTCCCCCACCAGGAAAATGGACTATCTTAGCTTGGCATTTGAGTGAAAGTGAGTGAGGGCAGAGAGAAAAAGATAGTGAGGTGTATCTTATCTTCCCATAGAGAACACAGTATTGTGCATGCATCCCTTTCTACAGGTGACCTGTGGGGATTTATACTGCCCACTTTCAACAAACTGGGGATTTCCATTTATCTCACAACACCCTGCCCAGCTACTGACTTACTTGTAGCAGAGCAAATCAACCCAGCCCAACTGTACATCTGAAGCCTAATGTAAAATCTGAGCTATAATGTCCCAAGATTTAGAAGCAACTGTTGTTTGGCTGCAGCATAACGTGAGGTGATATAGCAGCTGTAAATAATTCCAGAGAAAGCTGCTCAGAATCAAATAGCTTTCGATCTGATCCCAGCAGTTTCATCTTCTCCTTCGTGAAAGATATATTGGATAAATTAAACTTTAAGTGTCTGAGACTCAGGAGCACTCTGTTTGACCTAACCTTGTTGCCACGGAGGGCATGGTCGATTGCAATGTTAAAACCACTATGACCATAGTCAGGTCAATGAGGATGACTTAAAAATACTGCCATAAAACATCTTCCATGTTAAAAAAGTCAGTAAAAACACACAGAGAGGATGTTTATAAACACTTAATGAGAATTGGGATAAGTGAATTGAATGAAAACTATCTAAAGCCTCCATTTTCACTAAATCTTTGTTATCTTACTTTTCTTGTGACAGTGTTCCAATAATCAATTTTTTCTGACAAGATTAGTGTTACTTTATACTTCCAGATGCAGATGCTTGAAATCCAGTATTTCTCTTTCATGGAATGTTAAACAGGGATTGACAGGATAATAAAGGATACATGGGGACTAATAATTGCATGGCATCTTTTAACAGGCATTTTTAATTGAGGTTCTTAAATTCTCATTTAAGAACTGTAGGTAAGTTTTCATTTTATATCAATAACTGAAGAAAAACATACTTGTCTTTTTTTCTCCCTTACCTATTTTTTTAGAAAAAATGATGAGGTATTATGAGATATGCAGAACTCGGCATCGTAGTCAGAAATACCTTCTCTATCATTGTATGCTGGATTTTACCATCGAGGTATGAAATGTTAAAATTCAGTAAAAAATTTAAAGAAAATTATGCAAAGCAGTAAAGAAAATGCATTTATTTAAAAACAGCTAACACAATTTCACAATCAGATTTAGAGTTTTAAATCTAATTTCCATGGTTTTTGTTAGCTTTAGCCTGAGCCTTAACTCACTGTTTTGTAGTGTGCATTACAGTTCAGCACTCCTTATTGAAACTTCTGTCATATTGTAACAAAAGATAGAGACTGCTTTGGAATAGTTCTATAAATGAACTGAAAAGCCCTTGATTTTGGCCAGTAATGAGTAATAAAAAAGACTCAGATTGGGAGCAAAGCCAACTATCTGAGCAACAATATTAATTTGAAATGCATTGAAGTCATATATGATTATGAGAATGCCAAGTGTATGGCTTATTAAATTTGCTTGATGAGAATTCTTGGGAGAAGAGAAAGAAAGAGGCAGTGCAGGTCTCACTGAAACAGCTGCATGTGAAAGGGTAATATTTGGATTAGAAAATAAATTAGAAGAATTCAAAGGAATTTAACAACAATTTTTGAACTACATCATAAAGGAGGCTGAGGATTAAGAGCTTATGGGGGAAGAGAAAAACAGAATAGAAAAGGGTGCATAAAACTCATAACTCCGTAGAGAAACACATAATCCCTTTTCTGCGTGTTCAAGGGTAAATCGAGTTTATTTTCACTATTTTTTTTGCACTTCTTGAATAGAAGGGAATAACAAAGTAAACATGAATAAAACCAGTATGCATTTAAACAAAATGTTAGTTAATTCTGTAGTTGAAAAAGCTTCATATGTAATTAAAAATATCACCATTTTTCCTTTTCTCTGTCTGAGGCTATGCATCACCAAAGCATGCAGATGAATCCCTGAAAAAACCTTGTATTCAGATTTGAAGTTATATGCAAGGGTAGCAATGGCAAATTTAATTCAGTATTTCTGCAAAAGAGAAACAATTCTATAGTAGATATAAATGTCCTTCCCTTACAATACAGTAATCAGAGAAAGGTTACTTCTCTGCTGGAATACTTTTTGAAAGCATCAGTCTCTGCTGGTATGAAGAAATGCAATTGAGAAGTCTTACCCTGTTCAATAGCTAACACTTTATTATGGAAGTACTGACCAGAAAGTTTTTTCTGATTTAAAATCTGTAAGACTCTAACAGTTGAGCTGGGACTATGGCCAGTATTTTTTTCTATCAAGCTGTTTTTGATTGAAAATTGGATTTTTGATTAAATTGAGATGTGCAAGAAACGATGAAATTTTCTACGTAAAATTTCCAATGCTTAGAAGAGAGGAGCTGCTGAAAAGGGTACCAGATCACATCATGAAAATTATAGTATTGGACTGTGTGTTTCCATTTTGTTCTAGGAGATAGATTTTCTACAACCTGGTGTTCATGGGACATATGAGTCAACATTAAAGGGGAAGAAAACTGCATTTAAATGACTTTTTATAGGATCTTGGTAGTGGCAGGGTAGTCTAAAATTACTTCTTGTGCTGAAAAGTGTTTTGAACGTTGCAATGCCATAGATCTGAGAACACCTCCAAGTTTTAAAAAATAATTACAATTGCACTAGTCACTTGTTCAAACAAAAAGCAGATGACCAAATTTCTCATCTCTAAAGCCCTAAAAAAAAAAAAAAAATCACTATCCTTCTAATTATGTTACTTTTTAATGAAGTCTGTGGGCCAGACTGTAGTTTAGACAGTCCTTTTCCAAAAATCTACATGGATCCAGCCTCTCTGAGCACTTCTGCCTTACCAGAGCTCTTTGATTTCCTTAACTTTGAAGCATTTTTGTATGGAGGCTGGTGTAAACCGTTGTCTGCACACCTGACTGGCATTTCAGGTCTCCTGGGAAGGACAGATTCTTATATTCTTATATTTTTTTCTTATCCAGAGAATAGTTAACTGTTTCTCTAGTCTTTCCTCTAGTGAAGACATAAGCCTCTTGCCTTGCATCAATGAAATGCCATCCAGCTATATTCCAGTAGCTGTTATTCCTTACACCAGTTGAAGACACAAAGTCAATTATTTCCATACCTGTTTAGTTCTCATTTTGGAATCTGGTGACAGATTGTTGTAGGTGTAATGGGCCTGTGTAACTCCACAGAAAAGGACTGCAACAATACCTGAAATTCAAAGAAAAAACAGGGTTAGCTGTTTCTGTTTTCTTACTTAGGTTTGCAAAAGATTGCATAAAAGAGAAAATTAGTCTGTTATCACCTTTTTATAACAGAAGAAATTTGAGATATATTTTATAAGAGCATCTTTCAAATAAACTAGATTTTTTTTTTCCTTTGCTAAAAATCCTGTAGATCTTGAATCTTCTACCTGGACAATCATGCATTCATAGCACTTCTACTGTTGTGTATTTGGCCTGAGGCTGTAGAAAATTTGTTTCAACTAATACATGGTATGATCTGACCGTAATCTATCTGACAGGAATTGTAAAAGTAAGACTAACATAATTGTAGTATGTAGGACTTCAGACCTTTTGAAAAAACTTGTCAGAGACTGAATAGGAAAGGAAAAAAATAATTTTATTACATTTAAGTGGTTTGAGTTCGCTTGGTACTGAATGACTGCAGCAGGGAAAAGTCAATTCAGTCTGTGCCTGACTGCAGCCTTTTCATAATCATGTGCAAGGAGAACAACAACACATTGCTTAGAAGTGATGCTCTGGCTGGTGCAAACTGCACTGCCCAGAACAACCAGGTCAATGACACATGGCAGCAGTTATATTCCCAGCTTGTGGAAGTCTTGAGGAGCAGGGCAGCAGGTATTTCAGGAATAATAATAAAAAATTATTTTTTTTTAGTGCTATTTTTTAATACTTCTTCCCTGACCCTGGTTCTAACTCGCTAGAATCATACAGTAACATCACTGTAATGCAGTATTATAATTAAAGTAGCTGACAAGATTGTAACTATAGTTTCCTGTCAGCTCTGGACACAGATAATGAAGAAGGAGCCCATACAGGGAGAAAATGGAAAACCAAAATAAAATGTCCACCAGTAGCCATATGTAAGTGCCCACGTGGGAAGAAAGCCCTGGTCTTTTCTTAAACTCCAGGCGTGCCTACATAGATAATTATTTACACAACAGCTCAGGGCTTTATGGTGTCCATTCTGATCATCATTCCCCTGAAAACCTTCACACACTTTTCCTGAAGCACGTGGAGTGTGCAAGTTCTGCTTGGTTTTGAGCTGCACATCATGTGAGCAACAGCTGGCTTAGCCCAGAGCCAGCCTACGGAGGCAGCTCTGTGTGCCAGGGATCTCCGGGGTCACACAGGCACTTTTCCACAGTGCCTTAGTCCTTGTGCCTTTCAGCCCTTCTACTCCCTGCCTCCTGTGTAGGAGCCACAACATGCCCTGATTAGCCTTTCAGTTCGGCTTCCTTATGGGCTGCTCTGCACGTTGTTAGGTAATTTTTGGCTCATAGGCTGCTCACATTTACTGAAATTATATTGATGAGTCTGAGGCAACAAAGCAAGCGGAAAGATATCTGTCCAGATTTAGGCACTATCCAGCCTTGCAATGTGATTGTGCTGCAGCTTTCTGAGCATTTATTGTGTTAAACTAGCATGAACTGAAACATATAAACTAGTTGTATTGGAAGCAAAAGCATGAAGTGGAATGTAAAAATAATCCCAGTGTCTTCCTTCACTCCTGGACTTGAAACTGGGTAAAGCTTCCTCCATCTTCTCCAGGACGGGGACTATCCTGACTTAATGAAGGCCAGCAAGAAGGGGCTCAGTAAGGGGACGGAATTTGGAGTGCTGCACCTATAGCACAGCAAGCCAATATAAACAATCTGCTACTTCAAAAGGGTTAATAGAAGCAGGCTGGGCTTCAGACTCACAGGAAAAATGGGCGGCACTGTACTGAACAAGTGTGAGGTGCTTCAAGCACTGGTGCCTCAACATGTTCTTTAACAGGCTTATCCAAATCTCTAAATGTTTGAATTTTAGCAGCAGGAGGGTCTTTGAGGTAGGTGAAATATCCTTCTGCCCTGAACCATGGCACAGATAAGGGAACAAATCCAAGTAATAATTTAGACAATGCTGAAATTAATCCATTTGAGGGAGATGGTGTGTGTGGGATCTGTGCGGTGTCACATACCAGTTACATTAATTATTACCTTACTACATCTTTCTCTAGATTCTCCTTGGATTGCTACCCATGCAAATATTGGCCAACAAAATCCAATTTTCTTTACTTGCAAGACTCTCTTGTTTCTGGGAAGAACTGAGGCCTGGCATTAATATGCCTTTAAAGGAAGAATGGAGTAAATAATTCTGAGATGAATTTGGCACAAGGGATAACTGCCATCAGAAAGAAAATGATTATTTCTTTAGTAATAATAATAATAATAATATATTATAAAAATAATATTTTTTTCCCCCCACAAACCACTGTAGACATTTTCTTTGCTTCTGGGTTATCTTTATATTGTAAATTTACCTGTACTGCTTCTGCAGAACTGTCTCTGTAGCCAAGAGAAATTCCACCAAGCTTTAAGTAATGTCTTCTTTTTTTAATATTTATTTTCTTAAGTTGGCTTTGATATTTATTTTTTTCTAGCTACACTAAGACTTTTCTTCACAGTAAATAACTTGAGGAGCGGTGAGGTTGTCACTGCCTAAATACATTTCAGGGAGTTCATATTTTCGTGAGGTCTAATTGCTCTCATAAATGTGTCTAAATCTTTTTTCTCAGTAATTGTATTTGATTGTGCAGAAATGATCTGGTGAGTTTAAAAATTCTCAAGGCATTGATAATATGCAGTGGGATGCTCAAACAATGACATTTCAGCTAAAAATGTAGCCAGTCAGTAATGTTGCTAAGTATCACTAGCTCCAGGCTCAGTAACAGAAATGGAGATAAGAGCTTCTGATTCACTTTCTTCTCTATTAATCATCATAGTGTCATCTTGCATTTTTAAAATTGACTATTAAATATGATTATGAACTGTTCTTGACTGCTGAGAAACTGTTAATTATGTGTGTGAGAGAACTGAGTGACGTGAGGAAAAAAATGGCCTAAATCTGATTTTACAATAAGAATAAATGAACTGAACCATGCAATTATGCAAGTGTAGAAACCAGATACCCTGTTTCCAGGGAAGACTGGGGGAATGCAGAGGAATATTTCAATTGCTACAATAGAAAGCTTAATATGTACCAGCCATGCCTCTTGCAATGAATGGTTCATTAAGAGTCTTGGAGAAAATTGTTTGTAATGCATTTACATAAAAATGATTACTTAAGAGTAAGGACCAATTACATTTTAATGCAACTACAAATGAAAGAGAAGTACCTAAAGAGGCAAACACAGAACTCTTTAGTTAGAAGAAAAAAGCAATCTGGATTTCTTTGTAAGACTATTAAAGCTAGATCTTGAAGTTAGCTGGGTAGCAAAATACTGTATGAACAGAGTATGGCACATAAATGAGGTTGTTAAGCTTTTGCAGGCTTGCTTTCACAGAGAAACAGGTAAGAGTAAATATGGCAATACTGGAATTGTAAACAGAAAGTATCTATTAGATGTAGGGAGGCAAATTAAAACGACAGTCTTTTTAGCAGTACTTAGTGCTCAGTGAGTAATTTCAGACTTGGAGACTCAGCTCTCTGGTTTCATTTTTAAGTGGCAAAAGTAGCAACTACTGAGACACTTAGTACTACAATTGCCGAACAAAGTGCTAACTTAACCAGGTAATGTTTTGATTTGAAATGAGTGATCAGTTGCTAAGTGCAATACAGCTCCTTGTGTTTATTAACAGATTATTGAAATTTTTCTCTTAATATAAAAGATGAGACACTTCACAGTAAAATGCTTATAGTCACTAGTAAACTTTCAGCTGCAGCTCATCCTCTTTGAACAGGTTTTATTAGAAATAAAAATCTTACAATTTTATTTGATTTTTTTTCCCACCTTATATAACAGAGAAATAGACAGCTTGCTAGCTGTTAATACAGTTAGAGAACTTATTCTTACATTAGTTTTTATCAATACTTGTAGCTGATTGTTAGGACAAAAGTGAGTAATATGAAAAGATAATACAGAATAAATGAATAACTTGTATTTTAAAAAGTATTTTGTTGATGGTGTGAACATTAACCTGACAGTGTGGGAATTAATTTACAAGAGTTAATCTAAAAACATCTTCTATATTTTCACTAAAAGACAATTTTTTTTTGGATCATTTCACAAATGCATAAAAAGAAACATTTAGAAAGGGCAGCATGTGCAATGTGCTTTTAATGTAAACCTGGAAGTGAGTGGCCACAATCAAAACTTGAGAATTTGCTAATTTGAGAGAATAAAACTGACATGATGTCTCTAGCTGTCAGGCCTTTAGTGGTAAAAAAGGGATAGAAAAAGAAAACTCCCAAACCTCTACCTTCTGGGGAAGCAAGGGAATGGATAAAAAGTTCATCTCTAAAGATGCACAACATACTGCAAATCCCCCAGTAAAGCAAAACCAACAGGAACTGGTCTTCATCAAAGGTGGTGAAATGTGTGGAAAGGAGAACAATGAGGATTGGGTAAAAGAGAAATTATTTAAATCAGATAAAATGTACTTTGGAGTCATATTTATGTCAGAATGTCCCTAGCACCTACTGGGATGCAGAGTGACTGTGTGAGTGGCAGGAAATGAGGCACTGTCGTCTGCCTCAAATTGCTGTGGTAATAAGGCCATACACCCAGTGGCAACAATATCCCTATTCACTCTGTTTTCACTGAGGGTATGAAGTGTGACTAATCATTTTCCTGATACTAAAGAAAAGATTTAAAGCTTCTTTCACCAGACCTGCAGCAATGCAGAACTAAAGCTCGTACTTTGTTCACAAAGCTTTTATCTCTGGAGTTGTATGAGGTTTATTTTATGTTGAAGTGACAGAAAGTAACAAAAGATAGAGCTGAGGGGATTTTTTAGGCCCTTATCTGGGGTTGGTACACTGGTATTGCACCTGGCTGCTTCGAGACCTGAGCTGCAGTGTTGTACTTTTGTAACCTCAAATGAATTACTGAATTCAATTTAGATTGGAACCCCTACGGTGACACATAACAGCTTTTATCCTAGACATGCTAAGAGTGCTTACCCTGTTTATCCTGAATCTATGCAATAGCAATAAGACTCCACTATCCTCATTTTATGCAACTGTTCATTGGTCTCAGCCTAATGCCATGCTAGAATATGTACTTTTCCCTAAAATCATATACCTTTCTCTTTTTCCCTTTCTGTCTTAAAAGGCTGTACCTAGACCCTAAATTAGCCAGACCCAAGAATTGACTCCAAATTTGTAGCAATCTGGCTCACTTGTTATCCGTCTCTGCACAGCACTGCAAGGGCCATCTTCTTACCTCAGAAGAACCTGCTTTTCTCATTGGGCTCAGATTTCACTCTGTGCTCCTGGGAGTGGCAGATCTACAGCTTAGGAGAATTGAGTTTTACTCTAGAAGCCAAGGTATCTCTTCTTCCTTACTGGGAGGAGTCTGCCTATTTCTCTGTGTGACACAACATGGCACACTACTTATGAATAAAGTAAAGAAAACCACAAAATTTAGAATTTAAAGCCCAGAATAACTTCCTTTTATAGAATAATGTCAGCTCAGTGAACTAAAGCCCATGTGGTCCCAACCTGACTTGGGCTTGCAGTGCTCAGAACTGCAGACAGAAATGTTCTGGTAGATCCCTTCTGAGAGTGTCACAAGAAGAACTGGTCACAACATTTTAAAAAGCGATGAGGTAGATGGTGGATCCAAGACAAATTACAGCGAACAGACAGGAGCAGTGAACAGCAGAATAAATGCACTTTGTCAGCAGCACTAAAGGAAATGGAAGCTGGTGACATTTGTTCTTGCTATGTCCTAAACACAAAGGTAGCACAAAATTGCCCCAGTGAGAGACCAGATTTCTGGACTCATCCTGGGTACATCATCCATAATAAACTGCTTATTTATTTTTGGAGGAAAAGCTTTCCTACTAGGTAGACTGTGCTCTCCTCTGAGTCCTTGAATAAGAAGACAGGTGTCAGACACATCACAAAATGTTCAGATGAGAATTGCTGAAGGTGAGGAAACAACAGTAATTTATTATCACAAACTTTTCCCTTTATAATGTTCAGAAAACAAAGGGCTCTGAAAACCAGTAAATGAACAAAGAAGATGCTCTTCAACATTTTTTCCTTCAAGACCTATTTCTTTCTTGCCTTCATAGTGCAGATCTTTACCATGTAAAAATCAGAGGTGGTTGGCTGCAATTTTGATGCCTTTACGCTGATAAATTCTATATGACTTTGCAGTATGCATTCACTGAATACATATATGCAAGTAAATTCACATATACATTTGAGTGCATTTCTGCAGGTATATTAATCTCTTTTTATTTGAATATCTACTCACTTCAAACAGCTGTAGATAGAGAGAGTCTAAGTGAGGTGAACATTAAATGCTCGTGTACATCATGGAATCTTTCACAGACTAATGACTGAGTGATCATTTAAAATTTAGCAAATTTTGTTAATTACAAAACAAGAGAACAAGCAATTAATACATGCAAGATGTACTTTCCTCATTTATTTTGACAAGTGTTTAATTTAAATTATTTATGATTTTTTATAGCCTACTAGTAAATACTCTGTAATGAAGTTTGAACATGAAAACAACTCTATTAACACTGACCTTACTCTAGTACTCTGTTATTACAGCTTTTTTCAGCAGTCAGGAATTATATACTTCAGGGCAAATGAGAAAATGCACAAATTAGTTTCTACTGTATAAGAATCAATTTATCATGCATATATCACAGCTTGATGATATAGCTATAAGATTAATAACCATAACATTAATTTATAATTTTACAGTTATCAGTATGACAGTAATTGTGTAGTCATCCAGGATTTTTATGTTGATTTGCTGGTTCGATCACATCTATTTTTCAACCAGGGTCAGGCCCATATACTGTGTGTTATATATCACGGGATATCTTGAGGCAAAGGAATAAAATATTTTCTAAAATATTGGCCTGTACTACTCTCCATTTACAATTTATTTAAAAAATCTGCTAGTGGGCTCTACCACCTACTATACCCACACAAAAACGGTATAGGCCATTATTTCTAAATTATGAAATACTTCAATATTAGACTTCAAAAGACTCAGAGTGATTGAGGAACTGGTATGGAAAGCATTATAAGAATGAAATTATTTTGCAATTACATTACTTAATAGCTACAGGGAAATACTGATGTCTAGTGTTAATCCTTTGAAGTTCATTAAGAAGGAAGGAACAGAAAAAAACACAATATCCAAGGAAAATGAAGTTCAGATGCCCCTCTTTTTATTCATTGGCCTGAAGATTTTGGCAGTAAGCAGGATGCAAAATTGTTTAATTAATAAGGCAAGGATGCCAGAAGATGCAGATGTTGATACCCATTCAGACATATTGCGATTCTGTGGCTGATATTAAAAAAGTAATATGCTGGTTCCAGACAACTCAGTAAAAATATAAAAATATAACTGTTGACTCCAAAAGGCTTTGAAGAGTTTTGCAAACAAACAAGCATGGGCTGCATCATCACTCCATTAAGCAGTTTTCTTCCCCTGACTTTCCCTGACATGAGTTAGAGCACTAGATTTCAGGGGTGACGGCCTCAAAAACATTAAAACAATCAGGGCCATGCAAACTGTGTTCCCTTGAATTACACTATACAGTAGGCTGCTGTGTAGGTAAACAATTTTTGCCTAAACTTCTGTATACTCTTTAATGGAGGCCCTGGGTATGTAACTGACTGTGATTGTATAATTTCTTTCCTGACATTAACGAAAAAATAACCAGATCACACATCTCTACCTGTCACTGGGACATGGCTGTGCCTCTCCCATTGCTAAAGGTGTTCATGGAGGGGCACTGAACAGGATGACTTCTTTTTTTTCTTTTTTTTCTAAGTACAGAGGTAGATGCCACTGGCAATGTTGAGGATGGCCCTGTCCTCTGTTTAGTCATTGATATTTGGGAAGAACAAGAAGGGACCAGGACATGCAGTGTGTGCAGAGGAACAAACAGTCTCACAGTCACATGCCACTGCATATTCGCTTCCTTGTACTTACTGTCGTCTTTGGTCCTATAGCTGGGCAGAAAATAGTTGGATTAGTAGTGAGACTAATAGGGATGGGATAATCTAGGGAAGAAAGACTGAGAACTTGAGTCTGATCTAATATGTCTTTGTCTGGAAGAACTATTCAATGTCTCTTAATGTTCTTAAAGAAGAAACAATCTTCAGTATAGCAATGGGCCTTTAGAAAATTTTTATGTGATGTCATGCCTAAAATAAACATGCATTTTACCCACACTAGAGGCATATTATAAAACTGCTTTTATTCAGTAAAATTCAACACTTACCTGTAAGCCCAGCGGCTTCTGCTGATAAGAAGGCACTCCAGGATAGCAGGAAAAACAGACCTGTCTCCAACATAGGAAACTCACACAGCTTTGTAAATTTTGTCAAGTGCTAAAAGATTACTAAGGAAAAATAAAAACCTGACAGTTTTGTAAACTAAAACTGCTCCTGACCTGATAAAGGATAGAAGAAAGAAAGCTCCCCCACCATACTCATCTATACTAGTTGAATTCGGGAACAACTGCACAGCTTCTAAGTTATCTCAAAGAGGAAAATCTAGAACAGGTTTTGAAGTCAGCTATTTTAAGTGCTTTTGTGGAGTTTGAATTAATGCCTAGTTGTTTGCATTTGATATTCTTTTTCCCAGAAAAAAGAAGTAATTTTGTCCAGTTTTATAAGCTTGCTGGCATTTGTTTACACTTGCATCCATGCAAGAAAGATGAAAATCACTTGTCTTACTACAGTAGCATTTTACACGAAGAACTGTAAAACCCAAATAAAAATGCAGGGCAACAGATAGACCTTTAATTTTTATCTTAGGTAAACTGATGAAGTTGTCAGTCACACTGACATGGTGTAGTGTTTCCTTTGTATTTTTGTATAATTGCTGCTAGCTTGTAGTTCATAAATAAGTTACTGTATTTAATAAATTCATGTTTTGACTTCAAAACATTTTCTTTAAAATGCAACCATTTCCAAATAGTAAGATAAAGACCAGAGTCTTGCCTAATGTTCAAAAGAAATTTGAGTATAAAGTTCTTTGTGGATTCTGACAAATAACATTTTCTGTCAATTTATGATTTGTCTGTCGGTTTGCAAAGACTTGAATCTAGAGTGAAAAGGTTCAGGCTTAAACTAAAAATGGTCAGTCTCAGATATCAGGTGTTTAATATCAGGCGTTTTTTCCAACATATATAAATTTTCTCTCTGAAAACAAACCATAAAGGATATTAAAGCTGTGACAACAGCATAAGAGGATCCCATGGCAAATGATCCAGCAAAGATCCCCAGGAAATTTCCCATTGACTGGAAGAAAGCAGCAGCATCAAAAGCATTAGGATTCTCCTTTGGACTGTAAATGGATATAGAGCTGAAAAGAAAACAAAGGGATGGGGGAGAGGGAAAGAAAAAGGAATAACTCAGTCACATTGTTACAATTTTAGAATCAATAACTGAAAATTAATATTTTTAGGGACTCAAAATGCAAACCAAAGCTTCTCTGGGCTAATAGCAGATGAGAACAAAGCAGATGGAGACTGGGGACAACCAATTTATTTTCAAGGTGTCACACTGTAAATCAATAGTCTACTGCAAGTCAGTAACATTTGTATACTAGAAGTGCCATAAACAAGGCCAACTAAACATTAAAAGGTGATAGGTGTATAAGAAAGCTGCAGGGAAGATAGATAACTTTGAATTATTTATTGTCCATGTGTCTTCAGAGCAGTTACATATTCACAAATACTCGATAAAAAGTGCAGGTTTGTGGCTGAGGCTCAAATGGGGGACACAAATCACAGCAGGTACCAAACCTGCAGCAGCAATTTTGTCATAAAGTAGTTCCCTTTTTGGTATAACCCTTCATAACTAGAGCTGAAGCCACATCAAGAGCTCAGCAATAGGAGACCTTGTGGGCAGGATGAATGTTGTCCCACAGAAAGAAAGTGCTGCAGTTGTCAAAGGTCACCTCCTGTATCCCACCCCCGAGTGGAGCCCTCATGAGTATTTTTGAAAAGGAAATGATGCCACTAAAGCAAATGGGCTGTGCATTAAATAATTTTTGAGAGTTTCAAGGTTGTTATTTGCCACCAGTCAATTATTACCCAGAACACCAGTAACTCCTTGTATGAATATCTTTTTTTCTTGTTGAAATGTTGTATTTAACAGATGAAAAATTGCTCTAAGCCTCCTAAACTAATTAAGCAACACTTCAGATCTTTGTGTTCTGTTGCTTTGAGTACTGTAGGTCTTTTATGTTAGTTGTCAAAGAAAATGTACTGAACTTGGCATTGGATTCCAGAATGCAGCTTGGATTGCTGGAAAATGGTAAGTATTTTAAGCGTTAAAAATTTAGAAATTTAAAAAGTTGTAAGTATTTTAAGCTTTTGCATATTAAAAATGTGATTTTTGCAGTCTTTCACTTTGAAATAAGGCTTAGAGTTGAAGTTCTGCTTGAAGGATTTTTTAAATAGTTGCATTCAAATCACATGGAGATATGTGAAAACAGTTCTCATGCTTTCAGTCTGCAAAAAATGGCACAAGGTTTCTCAAGGCATATGGTGGAGCACCAATAATTATGAGGAGTGAATACTTATCTACTACAACAGAAGTAACTAAGCCCTAAAATCTGCTCTCTCCAATTATGCTGATTAGCACCACTACAAAACTAGTGAGATTATTTGTAGTGGAAAGTACTATTGATAGAAGGATACAAAATATTATTAGCAGAGGAAATGCTAATCAGCAACATGTTGCTACCCACATTTTCAGTCCTTTTTCAACTGTGACTCTCTCAGACCAAGGGTCAGTTACAGTTCTTTGTTTCTCTTGCCTTCAGATTATTCCTGAAATGTTTTTCACCTCTGGCCTACTCAAAATGTATTGGTTTAGACCCCACATGAAATAAAGAACTATATTAAGCCACAGATGCATTCCCTAAACTGGCAGAATCCTATCAGCTGTGATACAGTATGGTTATAGTGTGATTTAGTAAGTGTATTTTGTGTTGTTAGGGAGGGCTTTGCTTTAGCTAATTATATAAAATTGGAACTATTTGGTAGTGTAACCAGAACTGTTAGATCTAAAGCTTGTAGGTCTGTCTTGACAGCAAAGCAGCCACTTTGATGTTTGCCCCAAACAAGTATACAGAGACTTCAGCTGCTGTTCTGCTTGGCTTAGTGAATTATAAATCAGGAAATTATCTTTTTTGCAATTGGTACTGCTGACAGCACTGAGTGGTGAATTTAGAGAGGTCAGCCTAAAATCGAGGAAAATGGTTCTGTGACATTGATGGGCTTTGCCCATGGTAGGGATGCTCAGTAATAAGAAGTAAAACAAAAAAATCTTGACACGGAGTGAAAGTTTAATAGTCTAATGTAAACTATAGTCATTAAATGACTTTTTATTAAGTATGTTAACATTAAAGGAAGAAAAGTTGACTTTATTAAGACCAATTAGGGTTCCAGTTTGCCCTCCAACTTAGCAATAGCTTTCAGGTATGAAGCAAACTAGAAGACAGCATCCTATTCTTAATATAGTTATTTCAGGAATGAATATGAAGTGACTCATTCTCACTGGGAAATTTTTCTACTCAATATGCCCTGAAACCCCAGGATTTTTTAAAAGCACCATAACACAGCACATGCTCATTGTCCTAACTGTGGTTCCTGGACTAAATCTTTCTAGAACTTGTGTTTCCCTGCAGCTCAAAGAGTATTTACTTCAGATTTTCACTTTGCATTATTCTGTATTAGACCCATTATTTATTTTTCTGAATATATTTTGTCTTTAACATTAACTTTTAACCCTTTCAACCATCCAAAATACACACTAATTTACCTGGAAGTTTTTCTATATAAGCTGTAATTTAGCAGAACAGGATTTTATCCTGTTTATTCCAGTACTTCCTGTCAAACCAATTATTTGACCTAAAAACAAAATTGCAAAGTTTAACACTGGAGAGAGCCATAATTAAAATTGTGGTTCCTCTACTCTTCTTCCTTTTCCTCAGAGAGCACTTCAAGAGGCATGCTGGCATGACTTGCCATTTCTGCTCTCTGCTCTCTGTGCCTGCTACAAAAGGGGTTGATTGCAGTTCATTAATAAGCAGTGCGGGAGAGTTTGATACAAAATTTCAAACTGTGTTTAGTTTTTATAGGCTCTCTAATTGCTGAACTTGTTTAAGAAAAAAGGGTTTATTTATCTAAGTTTGTATCAGAGGTGGATTAAGGGAATGCATAAAATAAATGCAGTAGAAAACCTTTTTCAGAGACTGATAAATGAACAGAATTAATGACAAAGACATGCTTTATCTGCCACCCACAATGAGATAGAATGGAAGGATAGTAATAAAAGATTTTTGTTGGATCCTCACTGAATGCCCTATATATGTATCTCACAAACACCTGCCCCAGTCTCTACTCTCTGTCTATATGTAAGTTTGGTAACCTCTGCCTCTCCTTCAGGTTGGAGTTAGAAATAATACTTAGCTTCCTAGATGGTTCTTATAAGGATTAGCCAGTATTTTCTATATTAGAAAGTTATTTAGCAGATGCCTTTTTATTTCCAGTTCTTCTGTGCTTCCTACACCAAACAACATTGGACAGGGTCAAGTGTTTTCACAGCTTTCAAAAAGGAAATCTAGGCAATATGTATTCATACAATAAATTGCAAGTTAGGGTGGTTGCTCTTGCCTGAAGCAGATAGAAGGACTGGCAGTTTGTGTCACTTGTACCACGCTAATTATTGCACTTCTTTCTTCCCCTCATCTGTTAAGATCACGTTAGGATGAAAACTCAGCACAACAAGCATTTTCATTCTATGGACTTGTGCAGGGATCTCACAAAAAAGGTCTGCATGAGAGGAGTGCTATTACAGTAGAAAGCATAGTTACATTTCCAGTTACATCTTAATTGATTCCTTTTTTACATCTTCAATTATTCTTAAGGATTTTCCTTTAACTAGTGGAAAAGATTCCTTTTCTTGATATAAGCCAAAGTGATGCAACATCTGTAACAGATGACTCTTAGAAAAAGGCAATATGCTGAAGAAAATACACTCAAGCATCAGAAGGAGAATGTTTGTAAACAGCAGAAATTTTTGAGTAGAATGATGTGGAATCAATTATTAGAAATAACCAGTAAACAGACTGTTTTATTCCTTTCTTCCTCCTTCTGTCTATTTGAACAACATGAAAACAAACAGCTAATTATCTTTGGACAGAAAGATTTCTTTCCACTTGCTAAATCAAAGGGCTTCCTTTAACCCAGTGGCCTTCTTCCTATGTACCACTTTGTCATGTAGTACTGCACAGAAGAAAATCGGGAATAATGTGAAGAAAAAATACATGAAAATATAGAAAGGTCAGATGTTCCTTAAAATACCTTCATTGAATGAAGTGAGATCTCCCTCAGGTGATAAATAATTATAGAATTAAATGGCAATTTCATCAGCTGCTAATTAAGAAAAATAAAACAGGCCAGAAAAAAAGGCTTCTAGAGTTCAAGGTTATTTTTAAGAAGGAAAAAAGGTTGTTTTTCCTGACATTATAATTATATAGAGAAAGGTAGGTTACTATACTGTGTTAGAAAACTTGGATCTTTAAGAGAAGTGGATTGAACTGAACGATTTCTGTTCCCACACAACTTTTTAACTATACAGTTTTCTTAAAAGTGTTAGAAGAAAGCTGAAAAGACAGAATTGTAATTTGCCCATAGTATAAGTGTTTGAACTACAAGCTGGAAGTGAAAGCCCATGCAGACACCTACATCTTCTCTTGGCAAGTTTTAGGTTGGTAAAGCTTTCCAGACTTCCTCACAAAAGAGCTCCTCACACAGCAAGAGCAAGTAGATGAACTATAAAAATAAAAACAAATGAGGAGGTTTGGGACGTGAGCGTGCCAAGCCAACAAAAGCACGTATGAAGCAGGGAAGGTTTGAAGACAATTAAGGCAAAGCAGAGACACATCAGTGTGGGAAGACTTTAGGTAGCCAATTGTAACAGTAGTTTGAGGCAAATGCATGGAGATCCCCTAGATGAAAATTTCCAACAACAAACACTGTATTTTTCAGATGTGTTTAAAACAGTGATCAATAAGTAAAGCAAATGCACAGAAGGTGCACTAAAAGAACACAGATGAATCTTTCGAACATCCTTCTGTATAAGGAAATCTATCTTTCTGGAATATATGCCTGATAATACTTGCATGTTTTTAGATATTTAAGGCTCCTGAAACATGGATTTCACAGAAATACACATATTAAGCTTTCTATTGATATGTGTGTAAGAGCTGCAAAAGATAAAGAAAAAGGTACTGGTGGTTGAATTGCTGCTGGAATGGCCAGTATTTGAACCTTCATTTTTCTGGATATC